CTGTTAGAAAGGGGGGGGGGGGAGAGAAAGAGAGGGGAGAGATAAGTAAAGGAATTTCGGGAAGAAAAAGATCGATAGTGCGAGACGAATACGTATAATAGTAAATGTATAATACCTCATATTATGTTACATAGAATATTTATAATACATTCACGGCAATGTTTATCGATGATTTCTGCGAGTGTGATTGATTAGTAACATGATGATAGTTATGATAATAAAGGTATTTAAATAATAACGATGATATTAAAAGCGACACAATAATTGCCAAAAACACCCGAATTTTCGGCATCTGCATCATCTTCTGCAATCTGCACGTTTAAATGTCGTGTTAATCTTGTGTTAAATGTGGAGGAGGAAAAGACGAAAGGAAGACGATGACGACCACAAAGATGAAGATGATAAAGAAAAAAAGATGAGGGAGGAGGAGGAGGGAAAGACGAAAAGTAAGAAAAGTAACAAGAAGGAGGAGGAGAAGGAAGAGGAGAAGGAGAAGGAGAAGGAGAAGGAGAAGGAGAAGGAGAAGGAGAAGGAGAAGGAGAAGGGAAGGAGGAGGAGGAGAAGGCAGACTACGGGGAGCAGAAGGAAGAGGAAGAGGAGAAAAATATGAAAAGAACGAAAAGAAGAAGAAAGAGGAAATAGTAGCAGTAGTAGTAATAGCAATAATAGTATTAGTAGTAATAACAGAAGAAGAAGAAGAAGAAGAAGAAGAAGAAGAAGAAATGACAAAGACGAAGACGAAGTAGAATCAACAAGGGGAAGAAGAGAATGAAACTTTTTAAAAAGTTTAATAATAAAGAAAGGGAAAAAGCGAAGGAAACGAATGATAAATAATAAAAGATAAAAAAAAAAGAAAAAACTGAAAACCCGCCATGAAAACCGAAGCCAGCCTCAGCTTCCACTTGCTCAAGAGGCAATTCACTCTCAATGGGCAGTCAAAAGCCCTCTTGTTCTATTGAATTTCGAAAAGCGTGAACAAGGAGTTAACACAGTGATGGTAAGTGACGAAGGAGGAGTGAGCCAATTAACACGTTTGAGATGCGTTGAAAAGGGAAAAGGTCTGCTGAGTGCATGACGGAAGGAGAGGAGCGCTGGAGAGGAAGGGAGCTATGCGTGATACGAGGAAGGGAGTGGGGGGGGGAGGGGGGGGAGGAAGGGAGCTATGCGTGATACGAGGAAGGGAGTGGGGGGGGGGGGAGGGAGTGAGATATGCGTGATACGAGGAAGGGAGTGGGGGGGGGGGGGAGGGAGTGAGATATGCGTGATACGAGGAAGGGAGTGGGGGGGGGGGAGGGAGTGAGATATGCGTGATACGAGGAAGGGAGTGGGGGGGGGGAGGGAGTGAGATATGAGTGATATGAGGAAGGGAGTGGTGGGAGGGAGTGGGGGGGGGAGGAAGGGAGCTATGAGTGATATGAGGAAGGGAGTGGTGGGAGGGAGTGGGGGGGGGAGAGGGAGGGAGCTATGCGTGATACGAGGAAGGGAGTGGGGGGGGGGAGGGAGTGAGATATGCGTGATACGAGGAAGGGAGTGGTGGGAGGGAGTGGGGGGGGAGGAAGGGAGGGAGCTATGAGTGATACGAGGAAGGGAGTGGGGGGGGGGAGGGAGTGAGATATGCGTGATACGAGGAAGGGAGTGGTGGGAGGGAGTGGGGGGGGAGGAAGGGAGGGAGCTATGCGTGATACGAGGAAGGGAGTGGTGGGAGGGAGTGGGGGGGGGGGAGGGAGTGAGATATGCGTGATATGAGGAAGGGAGTGGTGGGAGGGAGTGGGTGGGGGGGAGAGAGGGAGCTATGAGTGATATGAGGAAGGGAGTGGTGGGAGGGAGTGGGGGGGGGAGGGAGCTATGCGTGATACGAGGAAGGGAGTGGCGGGAGGGAGTGGGGGGGGAGGGGGAGGGAGCTATGCAGTGATACGAGGAAGGGAGTGGTGGCCGGGAGTGGGGGGTGGGGGGAGGAAGGGAGCTATGAGTGATATGAGGAAGGGAGTCGTGGGAGGGAGTGGGGGGGGGGGGGAGGGAGGAAGGGAGCTAAGCGTGATACGAGGAAGGGAGTGGGGGGGGGAAGGGAGTGAGATATGCGTGATACGAGGAAGGGAGTGGTGGCCGGGAGTGGGGGGGGGGGGAGGAAGGGAGCTATGCGTGATACGAGGAAGGGAGTGGTGGACGGGAGTGGGGGGGGGGAGGGAGTGAGATATGCGTGATACGAGGAAGGGAGTGGCGGGAGGGAGTGGGGGGGGGAGGGATGGAGCTATGAGTGATATGAGGAAGGGAGTGGTGGGAGGGAGTGGGGGGGGAGGGAGGGAGCTATGAGTGATACGAGGAAGGGAGTGGTGGGAGGGAGTGGGGGGGGGGAGGGAGGGAGCTATGCAGTGATACGAGGAAGGGAGTGGTGGTAGGGAGTGGGGGGGGGAGGAAGGGAGCTATGAGTGATACGAGGAAGGGAGTGGTGGGAGGGAGTGGGGGGGGGGAGGGAGGGAGCTATGCGTGATACGAGGAAGGG